CCCCCCCCCCCCCCCCCCCGCCCTGGGGAGCCAGGAGGCAGAAGGATCGGGCTGTGTGGTTCCGGCATCCTCGGCTGCAACTTGGCACAGAATCGCTGGTAAAACGGTTGTCCGGGGTTGGTTAGCATTCTAGCTAAATAGGCTTTTGCGGATTGGCCTGGGACCCAACTGCCGTGTATAAGTGTTATTTGAGTGAATGTATGGCCTTGTTTTCATGGAGAAAAGCCCTCTAAGCTCAGAGCATCTGACCAAAAGTGACCTTTGGGGACATTCCCCTTTGGGTTCTGGGGGCAAACTCTGGGTTTGGCTCCAATTGCAGAGAAAGCGCGGAGAAGCCTCAGCGCTGGCCCAGCTTAGCTGGGGGTGAGTGCGGGCAAGATCTATTTCCGTCTGATCTTCCTTTTAGCTGAGGCCCAGAAGGAAGCTTCCGGAAGGGGGTTGTCGGAAGCCTTCAGGACTTGGAGATTAAGACCGAGGGCGAGTGATCTCAAAAACCCGTCCACCGCCTGACCCCGTAAAGATAAGATCAGGGGGCTTCCACTCGGCCTTTTGGGCTGAGGGAGCGAGGAGGGTTCAGTTGGGGACGAAGAAAGGGACAACGTGTTAGGAAGGTCTTACTCCGCTTGCCCTTTAGTTGGCCGAGGGCTTGGCGCTGGCACCAGGGGGCAGCAGAGGCGGAGAGATGCGCGGAGGGGCTTTTCACCTGCAAACGGTTTCCCTGCCCACCGCCTCTGCCAGGCTGGGCCTCTAGGCCCCATAGGAGAGCTTCTTTGGATCCAGAATGAGCTAGCTCCGCCACTCCAGGGTTTCAAAGATCGGGGTTCTGTCCTCAGGGGACGGGGACGATCAAGGCTGTGCCGTCCGGGATCCACCAGGAGAGGCGGGGCGCTGCCTACCGGGGGCCCTGGGTCCCTCCCAGGCCCGCCCCAGGGGGTCTGCGGCCACCGGGACACCGTACACACGCTCGGACACCCGCAGCCGGACGGCGAGCGAGGAAGGGGTGTCCTGATTGAGATGAGGACGGGCAGGAGCCAGGAAATCCTGTGTGAGGATGAGCAGCCCCACGGGAGGTGGGGAGGCCAGCTAGCGATGCCTGGCTGAGCGGCTGCCCTGAACTGAAGGGACCTACCCAGACACCTGACCCGGAGGGCACAGAGCCGCTGAATAAGCCCTAAGAGGGGCCCCTGGGGAAGGAGGAAGCGGGGGCAGCACCGCATGCGATGAGACTAGGACTGTGCACCTTGACACAGAGAAAAGCCCGGCACTACGTAGCTGGGAATGCACACAGGTACGGGCAGGACACGAGGTGACCAGAGGTCCAGGGGCAGGAAACGCTGTCTTGGAAGGAGCCCAAGGTCCTTATTTGCAAAGAGTTTAGACCAGACCTTCTAAGCACCCCCTTCCAGCCCTGATGTCCTAAAAATGGGGAATTGGGGTGCGGGGGAGGTTGTGCTGGACCTGGAAACAAGGAACCCAGAAACATGCCAGCACCTGTGTGGGACAGAACCCTGGGCTCCCACCTCATGTCACCGGGAGATCAGTTTGGCGGTCCGCACTTGTCAGCCAGGTTTTATGAACTCTTTTCTGGGCCCTGACACCGCAAAAGGACAGGCCCTCTGGGCATAGGGATTAAGCCTTCCATTTCTGGTAACAGCTCAGCAGGCAAAGAGGGGTTTTGGATGGGGGCCCGGGTGGGGATTGAAATAACAACACAAGTACCACACTCATACGCCCAGGAGGGGACAATCACATTATTTAACCATCAGTCAGAAAGGACACTGGGCATGGGGCTAGACAAGGTCCTGGGAGTCCCTTCCATCCATATGCCACGCACTAGCCCTTCCATTGCGGGATCAGGGAAGGCGAGGTGGGGGAGGCTCAGGGGTGGGACCAGGGTGGCCAGGCTGGCGGTGGAACACTCAGCGGGCTGAGTCGTGGCCATTTACCAGCTGATGAGGCAGAAGCATTTCGATATTTCAACAGCGCTGAATACAGGCCCTGCACTCACCCCTCACTCTTCTGTTTCGCCCCTGGGGGCTCGGCCTGCTCCCCAAGTAGCAGGCGGTTCCTGCAAGCCCCAGACCAAGTGAGAGACAGCCAGTGTGGGGGTCAGGGAGCCAAACACCCGGTAGGGGGAGAGGAGAAAGCCCCACACTGGACAGAGAGAGTCAGACCCTGAGGCAAAGGAGACCATATATTCCAACATTCACAGTGGGTGCTACAGGCGGGCTGTGAGGGAGGTGGGGTTTGGCCTGAAAACCTCCCCCCACAGTCACTGAGGAAAGCCCTGAGGCAAGGAGGAGGGTGCCGGGGCTCACCCCTGGAGAGCCCTGTCTCCAAAGTCCGCTGATTTTTGTTGGCATTTCTCTCTTTATCTTGTTTGTTCTTTTGTTTTCCACTCTTTAAATAATTAATATAATTACTTTTAAATACAAAATACACAGTGTCCTTTCTCTTCTCGTCTGCTTGTTTGGGGTGATTGGGAGGTGCGTTTTAAATAAGGGTCTCGGCTGTCCAACGGGTCACAGGCTCCAAGTGGGAGGACCAAGAGCCCCAGATGCCACCCCTCCCCTGGGGCATCCCGGCACCCGCTTCACCCCTCCCCTGGTCTGCCCCTGGCTGGGGGCTCCCGGAGCCCTGGCCTGAAGCCACCTAGATGGTGAGGAGCCCTCTCGGGAGGTGGCACAGAGCTGATGCTGTGGGATTCCAGGTGGGCCTGGTTTCGACGGACAGGGTCAGACAGAGGAGGACCTAGCCCATGAAGCAGACAGGCCCCAGCAGCACCCCTCCCCGCTTCGGGGGGGCCCCCAGGTCTGAGAAGGAGGCGTCCAGCACTGGTAGCTGCTCCAGCACAGGTGTTCGCACCTCCAGCACCGTGCGGCCTTGCTGTGTCTTGAGGGGGGAGACGGGACAGAGGGAGCAGTGAGCATGGTGGGGGCGTGCACACGCCCCACGGGTCCCCCAGCCTCAGGCCTGAGCGCCCCTAGCTGCTATGCCCCCAGTCCCTGTCACATGATCCAACTTGCTAGATTTTCTTCTTCGAATTTCTTCCAGAGCATCAGGATTGGGAACGTGTGCGCGTATCTGTGCTCCTGAACGAGTCTGTGCAGCCTTGGGTTTGTCCTTGAGATTGTCTACGTGTGGTGGTTGTGTGAGTCTGTGGGACTCCATAGCGATGTGTAAACACGTGTCCGTGGTGCAATCGTGTGATAACATCTGACATGATTCCACATGTTGTGTTTCCCCGTGTGACCCTGTCCAGACAATTCTGGGGACGTATGTACAGACGACGGGTGTCTGGGTCCTCCTGTGCCTTCCTGGAATGGGTGATTTGCACCCCCGTGTGCCTCTGTTGGGCAGCCTGTGTAAATGAGTGCACGAGCCTGCACGACTCACTCTGGGTGATGCTGGTGTGTGCGTGCAGGTGAACCCCACCTTCCATCCTTTCCACCCCGCCCCCCATCACCCCCGTCTGAGCTCCCTCAGGCATATCTGACACCGAGAAGCTGGACTCCTCCTGCTCTTCCTGGTGCCTCTGCCCAAAAGGTCTTCCCCCAGCCTGACTCTGGGATCCACCCCCACCCAGCTCTTCCGGTCCCCACCTGACAGCCGTCTCTGAATTCCTTGACGTAGGGGCTGGTCTCCAGGCTCAGCTCATCCTCGTTGGCCCCCCGGAGCTTCAGGGGACCATCTCGGGCCATCCCAGAGCACGGGTAGGAGACATCCTGGTGGGCTGAGACGCTGAGCAGCCGCAGGAAGGTGAGCTGGACCACACCTACCGGGGAGCCTTCTGAGTCCACGTAAGAGAACTGGCAGGAGAGAGGGCCACAGTCAGGGGCAGACAGAGACGGGCTTGCGGGGCATCTTACAGACGCAGGGTAGCTGGGCCACGGTCAGGGGCAGGGAATGGGTGGGCAGAAAGGGCTGGGGGAGAAATGAGGGGCCAGAGTGGGAGCCAGGGACTGACTGAGGGTAAACAAGAGGCAAACTTGGTCTTGGGTTATCAAGGGAAGGAGACACAGTGAGCGGCAGAGGGCCGGTGAGAAGGAAAGACTCAAGGAAAGAAGCGGCAGCAGGCTCCGCAGGGGTGAGGGTGCCTGTCACATAAACCTAGACACCACTAGGCCCTGACTGGGCCATGCTATGGGGCAGGGATGAGCAGTCAGGCGCCAGCTCTCACTTGTGTGACATCATCCCGGGGCGTCACACATGTTTCCCCTCCTGCTGTAAAGTTGCAGAAAACCCGGAAGGCATCCCGAGCGCAGCCCTGGTTGGGGTCGACCCAGTACTCTCCTGTTGGGTGAGGGAGAAGGAAGGGTCAGCGCCCCAACAGGTGGGACCCAAGGTGCTCCTTGCCTCCCTTCCCACTTCTCCCCTGATGCTGCTCCAAACCCCAGCACTCCCTCCCACGTCCTCCCCCCCTTGACCTCCTCCCCACATGCTTCCCTCATGACCTCCCCCCCATGCCCTCCCCCCTTGACCTCCCTCCCATGACCTTCCCCCCATACCCTCCCCACCATGCCCTCAGTCTCCTCGTCCCATTCTCCCCCAGAGCCCCACACCACCACCCACCCTTCTTCACATTCCATCGTCGCTTACACCCCTGCCCGTCTGTGGCACCCCTCCCCCAGCAGCACCCCCAGGCTCCCAACGGAGGAGGCAGGAGCGCTGACATCCTCACGGGGAGACAACACGTGATTGTAGATTCGCACACATGGCCATCCGTGTAAATGTGAGCACATGTGTACACGTGTGGATGTTTGTCGCTTCCCATAGGCAGCAGGCTGATGATGAGCTGCCGTGCACTGGGAGGACCAGATCAACTGGGAAATATGGCAATACTTCTGACCTAGTTGGCAAAGAGCTGCCCTTCCAAGCCCCTCAGCGCTCACCCCCACCCCACACCTTCCCCAAGAACCCCCTCCATCCATTCTGCTTTTCAAGCCCACACTGTTATTTTTGTTTCCTGAGGCCGGCACTGACCATCAGGCAGCTCCGGGTGGCAGAGCTTCAGGTCCTGGCAGGTGCGAGCGGGGCTGTCCTGGGTCCCTGTCGGCCGCCTCATCTGCTCAATCTCCTCCCGCAGGGAGTCCAGTGAGCCAAAGATCTCCTCCAGCCCCCTAGCACTGCCCGGAGCCCCCCCAGCCGGTATGGCCTCATCCTCTTGCATCAGGCGGCTTCCGTCCACGGAGCGCCGAGTCTTTTTGGGCATCTGGATGGGCAGGGGCTGGATCACCTCACCCGGGGGGCCCTGGGTGGAGAGACAGATGGAAAGGGTGACAGGCAAGGTCGATATGAGGATGAAATGGAGAAACACTGGGACAGAGAGGGACAGTCAGAGAAGCAAGCCCTGGCTTGTAACTTACCGGGTGTCCCGGAGGACCCTGGACGCCCTTCTCTCCCTTGGGTCCAGCTGGGCCCTGCCAAAGGAGTAGATAGGTCATGGAAGGGTCAAGAGGTCAAGCATGTGATCAGGGTCACAGAAGGGTCAGTCTCCAGGCCAGGGAGGAACTCCACTGGAGGGAGCACATTTGCCCGGGAGAGAAAGTGTCAAGTCCAGCTGGGGGAAGGGGGCAGAGCTCAGAGCTGGCTGGGGGTCACTCACTGTGGCTCCTTTGGCTCCTTTGGGGCCAGCAGGTCCCTGTGAAATGAGGTTACAAGACAGAGATGGTCAGCACAGGGGACGGTTGGGATATGGAGGAATGGAGATGCAAAGTCATGAGTCCACAGACCCTGGCTTTACCACAGGAGGGGCAGGCGTGAGGGAACACGGCGACATTTGGGAGGCCCCGAAAGGACGGGGAAGGAAATGCTGCAGATGTAAGGACATATGGAGGACCCTGGGACCTATGCTGGTTAGGCTGGTGGTTGCCATGGAAGCCATTGGGGGATTATGGAGCGGGGAGCAGTGGGGTTTAGGGGATTTTGTGAGGAACAGATGGGGTACTCACGGGGAGGCCAGGGGGCCCTCCAGGACCAATAGGCCCAGACGCTCCTGGAATACCCTAGGAAGGAGAGGGGCGTGGCTCAACTGGCTCCTCCTCCACACCCCCTCCCTCACCCCTTTCTCCACCTCCACCCTCACCCCCAACACGAATCCCCACACTCATCCTCCCAGACCTTTCAGGACCATGTCCTCACCGTCTCTCCCTTCTGTCCAGCGGAGCCCTGGGGGCCAGGAAGTCCCCGATCACCCTTCTCTCCCTGCTCCCCAGGGGGCCCGATCAGTCCGATGAGACCTGGGTGACCCTGGAGAAGGGACAAGTGGTCAGGGGGGTGCAGAGAGGAGACACGTGGATGCAGAAGAAGGAGCCCATGGGGGTGAGAGCGCAGAAGGCGAGAGAGACTTAGGCACAGGGTCTGACAGAACAGGGCCTGTGAACGGTCGTCACTGGGTAAGGACCCCCAGAGATGGTGCTGGAGCCCTGAAGCATAGTGGTGGGCACTCAGGGTCCCCCTAGGCTTCAAGGGTGAGGGTGAGGGGAGATACTTGGCCGCATATCTGTGTCACTCACCTTCTCTCCCTTGGCTCCGACATCACCCCGGAGGCCAGGAAGCCCCGGAGGTCCCTGTGGAGAGACAGGAAGTCACTCTCTCCAGGGAGGGGTGGGACCAGGCCCTCCCACCACCACTTCCCACTTCCTCCAGGGCTTCAGCTGGATTCCCCCTGCCCCAGGGAACCAGCATCCTCACCCCGACCCACCCCACTAATCCACAGTCACTCACCACAGGACCTGGAGGCCCAGCCTGGCCTGGGGCCCCAGGACGGCCTTGCTGACCCTGCAGATTCAAGGAGGCCACAGAGGTGAGGAAAAGTGTCCCCACACAGGTACCCCTCAAGGCCCCTCACCCCTCCTACCCCAGCCAAGCCTTTCCATTCCATTACTCACCACTGAGCCTGGGAGACCTCTTAACCCATCAGGACCAGGTTTCCCTGCTGGGCCTGCAGGGCCCACGGGGCCTGTCTTCCCCGGGGCACCTACAGCGCCAGGATCCCCCTGAAACACATACAAGGAGTGAGCCTTAAAGGGTAGAGGAAGGGAGTGTGGGTGGTGGTAGGGGGTCCAAGGCGGACTGGATGAAGCAGAGAGGAGGGGTCAAACCCCAGGAGCCCCTCGAGCAGGAGTAAGTATAAGGAACGGAACCCCCATCCGAACAAGAGGCTCAACATAGAGGAGGTCAACACAGGGTAGACATCTAGAGAGAGGAGTCTGAGGAACCAGAGGTGCCAGGAGATGGAGGGAATATTCCAGCCTCTCCCTTACCTTGGCCCCCTTCTCTCCTTGCCGCCCCTCAGGACCAGGTGTGCCAGCGGGACCCTGCAGATGGATACAAGGAAGGAAAAGTCGGTGAGGTAGTGAATAGCCAGGCTCAGCCGCTTTCTCCTCCCTGTCCTACTGGGCTCCAGCGAGCATGCACGCGCACTCACACACACACACTTGGGCATGCACAGACGCGGTCACAGAAGCTGAGCCACAGACAAGCTGGTACAGCTGCACCCGTTGTTAAAATACCGAGTAGTTCTGTGCATCTCGCAAAAAGCCACTTGCCCACACACCATCTAGTGCCCCACCTCCTGCCCCAGCAACTAGAGGGTTAATCTTTGGCCTAGCAGGGGCCCTCCAGGAAAGCTAGCCCCTTCCTCCAGTGTCTGTTCTGATCAGTTGGTGAATACCACCGCCCCTGGCAAGAATATATATAGCAAAACCCAAGAACAGACACACTCAGTTATACACAGACACTTAAAAATACAAATGTTCACACACATGTGCACCCCACCCAAGGACAGCCTAGATCCCAAGCACCTCCCTGCCCATCCCATGTGTTACTGTCCCATCCTCTACCCACCCTAAGGACCGCCCCACAAGTTCCCAGGTGTCCACCTCACTTACCCGCTTCCCAAGTGGTCCAGGGGGTCCATTCTCCCCAGTGGGACCAGGGGATCCCTATGGAGGGGGAAGTAGGGGTAAATGAGTGGTTAGCCTCCAGCCAGTGGACCCCTCAGGAGTAGGGCATAAAAAGGGGGCAATGGGCCTGAAGGCTTGGGCTCCATGGTGGAGGGAGGGGTCACTGGTCACTCACGGGCTGTCCTGGCTCGCCATCCTCTCCTCGGTCACCCTTTGCACCATCCTGGCCCTGCAGGGATGAACCAGGGTCAAGGGTTGCCCCAACCCAGCTGGCATCAGCCCAAAACTGCTAATCCTCCCATCCCTCCACCTGCCCTGCCCCGCCCCCAGCTTCTCACACTCAAAACGCATCAGCCACATGGAGGCTCCGTACAGAAGCCCACCCTCTTTCCCCTCTTTCTCTGAGGAGGACTCACCCGAGGGCCACCTTCTCCAGGAGGGCCAGGATCACCAGGAAAACCAACAGGACCCTAGTCCAGAAAAGAACAGGCAAGGTCACAACCCCCTAAGCCTACCCAGAGCCAACACAGACCCCCATGGGCACATGTGACACCCTCCCTCTCTATAGGCAAGGCCCGCCTGCACCCCTTGAGAAGATGGTCTCCTGCACCCACTTTTCTCACCTCATGCACTTTATGCCTTCTAATGCTTTCAGGGAATTAATTAGAAGGCATCTCTCACTTTCTGTCTCTGGATTCCAGACCCCATACATCCCTCCCAGATCTCATTCCCAGAGACTTCCTCCCAAGTACTCCCCCCATCCTTGGGCTCTCCCCACTCCAAGACCCTCCCACTCATACACACCCATATTCCCAGGTCTCTCATTCCCAAGACCCTCCTCCCAGCCCTGCACCCCCCCCCCCCCCGCCGCCAAACTCACAGGGTTCCCTTTGGGGCCATCATCACCGGTGGGGCCTTTAGGCCCTGGTGGTCCGGCCTCTCCTGGCTGCCCTGATTCTCCTTTCTCCCCACGCTCCCCACGTGGGCCCTGGAAGATGAATGGAGGGTACAGATGGTCCCAAAGGGGTCTTGAAGATCAAGGATGCAGCCCCTGCTTCCAAAACACCTTCAGCCTCCCCTCTGTCCCCTCAGTGACAGCAGGATGCACACAGAAAGTCAAGCCCACAGGGAATCATCTGGTCCCTCTTCCCTTCAAAGAAAGAGTGTGGGGCTCACTCAGACCCAGGGGTCCAATCTCCCTGAGTATGGGGAGCACAGGCTCCTGGGCTGTAGAAGAGCTCCAGCTCTAGCAGATCACACATCGGGGGTGGGGCGCTGAGGTTGAGGAAGGTGATGGGGATTAGGGAGCAAGGCCTCAGAGCTTTCATTCACCTTGACACCGGGCTCGCCCTGGACCCCTGGAGATCCTGATTCTCCTGGCTCCCCCTGAAAGAAGACTGGGGTCAAACACCTCCTTCTCCCCCAAAATCCTGCTATTCCCCCCCCATCTCATTTTCTTTTGCCACCCCCAACCAAAACTAACAGACGATCCAACCCTCATACCCCCGCCAAGGCGAGTCCATTCATTCACCCCCTTCCCAGTTACCTTCTCTCCAGGGGGACCCAGGTTCCCAACACCTCCCGGGGGACCTTGCGGACCCTGAAAGAGGAACAGAAGTTAGGGTAACTGCTTAAGGAAGGAGGTGCCATTCCAGGGACAGAGCCTGGATGAGCGCCCCAAGGTCACAGCAGTGAGACAGTGGGAGGCCTTCCAGGCCAGAGGCTTCTCTCAGCAGCTGAGATGAGACTAGAGTTTATAGTCTGAGGAAAGGGAGGCAGGACTGGCCACGTTGATCTGAAGGGACAGAAGCTAAGAGGACTCACATCAGCTCCATTGGGTCCAGCTGGGCCTCGAGGTCCTGGGGGGCCCGGAGGTCCCTGGGGAAAGCAGAGAGGGCAGAGATGGGGAGGGGAGAGAAAGAGCATTAGGCACACAGAAATGGCAGGGGGCTGGGTGAGGCAGACATCCTGGGGGTGGCAGGGGACGGGGACAACCCTACCAGGGAGCAGGGGCATCGGTGGCAGTGGGGTGTTGGGGCTGCTGGATGGGGGGGTGACTATAGGTGGGCTTGGGGCTAGGGGGTCACACTCACCATAGGGCCCACATCTCCTGTTTCTCCTTTCTCCCCCGAGGGGCCTGGCAAACCCTGTGTGGGGGTACACAGCACGTGCCCAGATGACCAACCCCCTAGATAGACAGTGCCCTTCCCTCCAATCCCACATGCCCCCTAGTCCTCAGCAGCAGGGGATGGTGGGGGTCTGGGGCAGACATCAGACCCATCCTGACCCCACCTCTCAGCCCCTGCCTCTACCTTCCAACTAACCTGTAGGCCAATGGGTCCCGGGGGCCCATTGAATCCTCTTGTTCCTTCATCGCCTTTGGCTCCAAAGTGTCCCTGGGGCCCCCGAGCTCCGGGCTCCCCATCTGCTCCCTGAGGTGGAGAGAGGGCAGGGACAAGGACACAGAGACGGTCATGGGTCAGGTGTTCTCTATTCACAAACTCCACACTGAGCTGGGCAGCAGCCCCAGAGCCCCCGCAGGGCAAAGCGGAACTGAGGGCAGACTAGAGGCTGCCAGTGCCCCTGGTGGGGGCAGACAGGGCATCAGTCACTCACCGCTGCTCCAGGTTGCCCCACGGGACCAATGGGCCCAGGGGGTCCAGGAGGGCCCTGCAGGGGAAAAGGAGAGTCAAAGACACCAAAGACAGGAAGAGAGACCAGGTGGAAATGAGGCTAAAGGTCAGAGGTCAGAAGTCAAAAGTCATGGCCACTTACATGTTCACCCTTATTCCCTTTAGTGCCCTTCTGTCCAGGGTCTCCCACCTCACCCTGCAGGGAGAAGGCAGGTGAGATATTAGAGAAAGGACCTGGATGAGGCAGGGAGGTTAAGACAGGAAAGGGGATGGGAGGTATGCCCAGATCATCGATCTCATCTGGAAAGATTGGGTCCAGGGTCTGTGGGTTCCCACACCTTGTCTCCATCCTCTCCTGCCACGCCTGGGGGTCCAGCGGGACCAGGAAGCCCCACAGGGCCCTGCACCCCATCTCGGCCAGTTGGACCAATGGGGCCCTTCTCACCCTGTAGGAAATGAAGAAAGGAGTCATGACCCAGAATCATCACCTTCAAACACCCTCACAGGAAACCCTCCAGAGCCCAGCAGCTCACAGCTCACAGACCCCTCCCCAGTGTGTGTCTCCCCAGGGACCCCACACTCACCGGGACACCTTTCTCTCCTGCAGCTCCAGGGGGACCCTGTGGGCCAGGGCGCCCTGGGGGGCCGATGGGTCCCCCTGATCCTGCTGCACCTCGCTCCCCAGGGGAGCCCTGAAACAGGAAATGGAGTCAGACCCCCAAGGAGGAGACCACAGCCCGCCCACACCAGAGGACCCCTGACCATGGTTCCCAGGAGAATAGCCCAAAATTGGATGCACTATGGCTGACCCTAGGTTCCCTCTGCCCAGTCCCACAGTCTTGCCTAGATCCAGATGCCACTCTTCATCCTTCCACACCCACTCTTTCCTGGGTCCTCCCTCCTGTCCCCCAGGGTCCCCAGACTCACTGCAGGGCCAGGAGGACCAGCGGGACCTTCATTTCCCTTCAAACCGGGTCCACCCTATGAACCAGAGATTTGGAGCAACAGATGTGAGACGGGAGGGTGGGACACAACAAGAATGAGCGTCCAAGAGACATGCAGGGAAGGATGAAAGTCGAGGGGGGGCAGGCTCAGAGAAATGGGAGTGGGGTGACACTGAGGGATGCCAGGACAGCAGTAACTTTTCTCAGGCAATGCGGCTGGGAGATTGGGTTCACACTCACGGCAATGCCCGGGAGGCCCCTCTCTCCTGGGAACCCCCTCAGACCAGCAGGTCCATCCTTCCCTGGGGCCCCTGGGGGACCAGGGTCACCCTGAAATGAAACAAAAAGTGATGAGCCACAGCTATGCTCCCAGATTGGACAGAGAGATTTCTGGCCTTTCTCAAATCCCCAATTAGCTGCTCCCTTCAGCACCCCAACCCTGGCCCCCCAAGTTCCCCTCTGCCTGGCCCTTTACTGACCTTTGTTCCTTCTTTTCCAGATGTTCCAGTCAGTCCCTGCTCTCCAGGGGGCCCTGGGGGTCCTGGGTGACCTCTCTCCCCCATGGGCCCAGTTTCTCCTGCTGCTCCCTGGGAAAGAGACAGAAAGACTCCATCTCAGATCCTCTGCCCGTCTCCCTGCCCAAACAGGCCACTCTGGCCACCCTGAAATGACCCCTCTGGAACCCTTTTAGCTGTGCCCCAAAGCTACTGAGAGACTCCTAGGGCTCTGCTAGGCTACTGTGCTGGTGTTAACTCCCCAGTTTGGAGTAACCACACCACTTGTGTCCCCACTGGGGAACTGCCCCTTTGAGGCTCAAGAAGATGAGAAGCGGCCCAGGAACCAGACTGAAGTTGGGGTCCCTGCTCCAAATTCCAGCCCCGGTGGGGTGGGGGGCAGGTCAGGCAAAGCAGGGGCTGGGGCATGTGATTGGAAAAGGGGACAAAAGGGGCAGAAAGACTAACTCCAGGGTCTGGGGTCCATTCTCTCAGAGGGCAGACATACCTGAGGTCCCACCACCCCTGGAGGGCCAGGGGGGCCAGTCTTCCCTTGGAAACCCTGAGAGAGGAAGAGGAGAGAACAGTCAAAGCATATCAGGCACGGACACTGTGGGATGGACCCCAGGTTCCCAGAGGAACGGCAGGGTCACCACCAGGTCCTTGGCCATGGATCTGAGCAGCACCAGGTTGATCTCCACTCTGCCAGAAGAACCTCCCTGGTGGGCCTTCCAGACAGCTCTGGAAGTTGAAGGTCTCAGCGGGCCAGGGGCATCACTTACCACTTCTCCTCTCTGGCCTGGGTGTCCTGGCAGCCCGTCCTTCCCAGGGGGACCCTGGAAGGGGTTCAGATGTCAGGTGAACTCTGAGCTGGAAAGGAGGATGGAGAAGAAGCGTTCACAGAACCAAGGCAGGTCAGAGGTCAGCTTACCGGAGGTCCTTTGGGGCCAGGAAATCCATTGGGGCCTTGAGGTCCAGGGAGACCCTAGAGACAGAGCTGGGTTGAATCAGGAGAATGGGCAGGGGATCCAGCTTCCCCCCTGGGGTGAGAGGGCACGGGCTCCACTCAAGCTCCCTGGGGAGCATTAGGGATCAGGAGACTCAAACCACACTCACCCTTTCTCCAGGGGGCCCATGGGGGCCATCACCACCTGATGTTCCCTGTGGGGGGAAAGAGGGTCAGAGAGCAAGAGGAGCTGCTTTCTAGCTATCCCGGAAGTCAGAGGAGTCAACGGGGAGCTGGGCTAAGGGCCAGATGGTGGATGGAGCCCTGCCAAGACCACTAACCTTAGCTCCAGACTTCCCCGTGGCACCTCGGGGTCCCCGCTGACCCCGTGGACCCTAGAGAGAGGGGAGGGGAGTTGTCAGAAGAATCCCAACGCACCTCTTTGGATCTTGAGCCACATGTCTGCCCCCCTGCACTCACCGTGGGGCCCCGCTCTCCCCGAGGCCCTGATTTCCCTGACAGGCCCTGGTAGGAAGGAAGCAGAGACACCACATCACCCAGGGCATGACTCCTCCAACAGAGCAGCTCTGCCCTCTACGCCCTCTCCCTTCCCCCAGCTTACCCGGGCTCCCTTCTCTCCACTGGCGCCAGGAAAACCAGGAAATCCCAGGGAGCCCTGGTGAGGGTAGAGAAGGAGAAAATTGAAAAGTCATAAAAAGGGAGGACCTAGAAGAGTCAATAGGGAGTCAGAACTGGTGACAGAGGCAGCAGGAAGGGAGGACTATGCTCTGCCAATAACTAGGTGTCCTTGGGCAAACCCCTGCTGCTCTCTGGCTCTCTGTTCCCCCATCTGTGGAATGGGGGTGGACTAAATTCACTCTAGGGTCCCCCACTGCTCTGTCAGTCTGTGCTTCCTGGAATCATGGGTCAGAGAAGGGAAGAGGAAGGTCACAAAAGGGGCATCATATCACCTTGGGACCCTGGCGTCCAGGGTAGCCAGGCAGACCAGGAACACCCAGCTTGCCCTGTGGAGAGATAGGGAGCAGTCAGGAGCAAGAGGAGCCACAGATACCACTCCATCCCTGCCCCCAAGAGACCCCAAGCCCCAGAGACAGGAGCCAGCCCCTACCCGGCAAGGCTCCCCAGCAAACTTCCAGCCCCTGACCCCTCATCTCCTGTTCCACAGGCTGCCTGGCTTTTGTAATCTCTCCTTCCTGAGAATAGATTTTCCCCAACTCGGGTGGTGGGATCTCACCCCTTCTGTGTCTTTAAATCTGCAGTTCCATCAAGTTCCTCAGGACTGTGATCTAGCCCCTGCCTACCCTTCAACCTCAGCTCCCTTTGCCCAGCGCACACTTCTACTCCATCAAGACCAGTCCTCCTGCAGGCCCGCACACACCACACTCAGGAACGCCTCTGCCCCCACCCATGCTCTGCATCACCCCTAATCCCCCTGACATGCACCCCTTCCTCCTGATGCTTCAGGGCCCACCTTGCCCGGACAACTGTGAAGCAGAGGCTGGGAGCAGGGATTCTACAGCCTGACTGCCTGGGTTCAAACCCAGGCTATGCCCCTCACTGGCTGTGTGACTAACAAGCATCTTAACCTCTTGGTGCCTCATTGAAAGCTCTCCGAAACAGAGGGCTGTAGTGGAGCCTGCCTTGCAGGACTGATAGGACAAGCAGGTGGGGTGTTGGCACTCGGTGAGTGAGGGCTTGCTGGAGTTAGCTCTGCAGGTCTGGCTCACCTCCTCTTTGACTCTCCCTTCTTGGAATTTCTCCTGCTCTGAGTCCAGACACATTTTCACTCTGCCTTGCACCCATATACCTTATGCCAGCCTCATGCCTTGTCCTCACCTCTATGTCATGTAAATTCTCATGACAGGAACTTTTCCTTGACTTCTTATACATCCTCACCCCCACCCCTAACTGTCAGTGGCCAGGAGGAGCCTTCTACAGAGAGGTGAATAATTAATGGTCTTCAAATGACTAACTGACTCCAACTATTGGCACCCTAAAGTCGATCCTGATCCTAGTGCCCAGGCCTTCATCCCCTCCATGTCCCTAGAGCATGTAGGCACAGACTCCCTCATCCCCGGTCACCTTCTCGCCCATGAGCCCAGGGGGGCCAGGGTCTCCAGTGGGTCCAGTACGTCCCTTTGGTCCCTCAGGACCATCTTCTCCCCTGGAACCAGGAACTCCAACCTCTCCCTGGGTAAGAGGGTTGAAGAGGCAAGTGTCAGGGACTGGGGGTATGGGCTGGGCTCCAAGAGGAGAGGTAGGCCTCGGTGAGGCTGAGTAGAGTCCCAGAGCTACTGCAGGACAGGGAAAGGGAGAGTGCTGTGATCTTCGGGCTGGTGGGACTCAGCTGTAGGGTTGTCATTCTGCGGGGGCCCCGCGCCCCCCAGGCTTTAAAGGGAAAAGACCACTGGATGGGGACTCTGTGGTTTCAGGAAATAGGCTAGTGATTGGGGGCTCCAAAATGGAGGAGGATCAGGACTTAGGACTGGGGGGCCAGTGTGTGGGCTTCTACTCACCCTGTCACCTTTCACACCCATGTCCCCTTTGAACCCGGGAAAGCCATCCTCGCCCTGAGAAAAATGGGGGTGAGAGCTCATCAGCGATGATGTGGAAGGTGGGGGGGGGGTCAGGAGGTAAAATAGAGCATTTTAGAAAATATGGGTGGAAGGGTGGATTTCAGAGCTGGAAAGCAGCACAGGGCAGGCTGGAGGACAGGAAGTAGGGGAAGAGCTGGACCAAAGGGGTGGTGCTGGGCAGAATGGAGGGAGGTGCTGGGAAGCTGGAGGCACGCTGCTCACCTTTTCACCCTTATGGCCCTTCAGACCACGAATTCCATCCACACCCTAGAATTAGAAGGGAGATAGAGACAGGGAGATCGGGGATGGAGGTTGGGAAGGATTGAGCTCCTGAGATCCCAGCTGCCTCCCCCAACCATAGTGCTTTATTTCCCAGCCTGGTTGTCCATTACCTTGACACCTCGAGGTCCCGGATATCCTAGAGGACCCTGAGGTCCAGATGGACCCTGGAAGAAGAAAGAGAGATACCTGTAAAGGGGTCTCAGGGTGTGACTTATGGAGGCCTTGGGGGTGGAAGAAATGGAAGAGACAACATTGGAATCTGGATAGGGATACAAGGCATGGGACCAAGAATACTTCAGCCACACGTGAATGATAAGCCAAGGAAATTCCAAGGATTTTGAGGCCCCAGAGTCTGGGTAGAAACTCCTCCAGGGATGAAAGCAGGCACGGACCATCTCACCTGGTTTCCTTTGGTTCCAGGGGGACCTTCCTTCCCCGGGTGACCCTGCAGGTAAAGGAAGGAGAATGTGACATCTGGCCACTGTTACCTTCCCTGCACCCCTTCCTTCACTTCTTTAGCCCAGCTTTCCCTTGTGACCCTAATGAAGCCTAGTGACCATGGGCAGGCACCACCAGTGACCTCCTGGTGTAAGGAACACACTATGTAGATAGTCACCAAAGGCACTTGGAGGTCATTCACTGGGGTGGAGGGTCATGTGGAATTTGGATTAAGAGGTAGGGACCCACTCACCGGAGGTCCATCTGAGCCAGGCATGCCAGGGAGCCCTGGTTTCCCTCGGGGACCCTGCAGGAAGACAAGGAGGCTCAGGGTCACCAGTGGGATCAGGTCACACCATGGCTGAAGCCCCAGCCACACATTTAAGGCTCTCCCTACACCTCCCCCGGTGTATCTCCTGTCCCCCAAATCACTTAGTCACTTACCTTCTCTCCATGAGGGCCAATGGCACCCTGGGGCCCAGGGAGACCCTATACAGAGAGAGAGAGGAGTCACAGGAGCCCCACAGGGGTGGACTACTCTCTCCTATAGCCAGCATCCCCATTCAGAGCATGAGTGGTGAAGGCTTGAGACCTTTAATTTCCATCCAGGGTCTGAACCACTGTGGAAGCCCAGGGGAAGTTGCTAAAGATGGGGAGGGGTTGGACAGGACAACTCACCTGGGTTCCAGGAGTGCCCTGTTGTCCAGGAGGTCCTGGCTCTCCCTGGGGTCCCTAGAAACAAGCAACCAGGCAAGGGTCAAAAGAAGATGGTGACAACAAACTTAGGGCCAAGAGCTGAGTCGCAGCAGGGGCAGCAAGAGGGCAAGAACCAGAACCAAGCAGGGAGTCAAAATGGAAACAGGACCTTGGCTCAGGGCCAGGTGGTGTCTCTGTGCCCATTACTCACCAAGCTCCCTTTGGGACCATGGGGACCATCCATGCCTCGGACTCCCTGAAACATGAGAGGGGCGTGAGCAGGCTGGAAGATGGGGCCAGGGCCCTGGAAGGACCTGTGGTTTCTGAGAGGCCCGGTCATTTCAGAGGGTGGGACGGGGCAGCCTGACATCGGTCAGACCTCCAATTCATCCCAAACCTAAGCAAACATAGCCAGCCCAGATCCACAGGGCGTAGGTCTATGGGTCTGTGGGTTTGTGGGGTTTTGTTTTTCTTCAGAATTTTTTTTAAGCTACCCTCAGAGCCTTTAGTACAGTGTACCATACGGCCCTGTAAGAGTACCTGGGAGTAAAGGCTGGAGCAGAGCTGGGGGCTGGGGGGGGAAGGGAGAGGGAAACAAAAGTGTGGGAGGAAGAGGCAGCTAGAAAGGTTGGAGAGTTGGAAAGGTCAGGGGGTGAGGTCAGGGTCAGAAGTCAGGGATAGTCACATACCGGGGGTCCAGGAATACCAGGTGGGCCTTTGGGGCCAAGGAGACCTCGAGGTCCCTGCAATCAGGTGAGGGGAAGATATGGCATGTGTGGGCGAGAGGTAATGTGTCTCCTTCATGCCCATGCCGCGCCCCTGACATCCCCAGAGACCCCCCTCACCCAAACCCCTAGACACTCACTGATTCTCCAGGCAGTCCCCGAGGCCCAATCTCCCCATCGTCTCCCTGGAGGAGGAAGACATGATGAAGCAGCCTCACCTTCCCCACTTCTCCCATACTGAGCCCCTGCCCTAGCCACAATACTTACCCGCTCTCCATCCTCACCAGGGGGGCCAGGAAGGCCCTGGGCACCAGTATCACCCTGGAAAATGGGGGAAGAGATAAGAGGGGCCTCAGAACCCCCAATTCAGGCAGATACTGACCCTCTTTAATTAACCAGTTTCACCCATTGAGTTCCTCCTGGGACCCTCAGCCTCCTCCTCTTGCCTTGAGATCCCTACCTCCCCACCCCTCCATGGAAGGTCTACCCCTCATCACAATGCACTACCCCCAATATACTCACCCTATGTCCCTTCTCCCCAGGTAGCCCTGGGAGTCCATCAAAACCTCGGTCACCCTAGGGGAAGAGGGCAGCCCAAGTGAGGTCCCAGCCCTTTACCCACCCTATCCATCCCTACTTTGTCCTGAGTGTCACTTCATGGGGAAACCTGGGGAATTCAGTAATCCCCAGAGCTTAGATAGTGCTAGAAGCCACAGACATCAGAGAGGGACCCATACTTGTTACCTTCACTCCTGGTTCTCCAGGCATCCCTCGAGCTCCATCAGCACCTGCTCGGCCCTGGGGTGCAAAGGAAGTGTCAGAGCAAACAGAGGCACATTCCTTCACACTTTGTGTGTGCCCTCTCTCCCACCCACACCCACCACACCCCCACTCACCCTTCGCCCAGCCTTGCCAGGAGGGCCTGTGAGGCCTTGAGGTCCTCTGGGGCCCTGGTGAGGAAGAGTCAGGGGCAGGGTTAAAGGGCATAGACAGAAAGGGAGGCCCTGGATGGGGGATCAAATGGGTGGGGCTTGTCACCTGAGGTCCTAGGTCTCCAGATTCTCCTTTCAGGCCAGGGCTCCCAGGCTGTCCCTGTGACAGAGAAGAGAGGTGGCTATGTTAAATGATACACCCAACAGTGACTTCAAAGCCCTCCCCAAAATAAGCAAAATAACTTTCAACACGGTCCCTTTCTAGAACTATCCCTACTCCCCCCCACACACAAAGAACTCTGTACCCCAATACCTCACTCACTCACCAAGGGTCCAGGGCGGCCTGTGTATCCCATGGGGCCAGGGGGTCCTCGGAGCGCCAGCTAGGGAAGCAGGGGACACAGCAGAGCTGAGGAAGAGGTAGCTGGAAACTCCCAACCCCAGTACACCTTCCACCTTCCAAATTTGCACTTCCACTCCTTGTATTCCCCCAAACCTTACTCTCAGCCTCAAACTAACCCAGACCTTACCCTCCTCCATAGTTACTCCAACCTACCCTTCCAATCCCTCCTAAAGTCTTCATTTGCCCTCCATGCCCCTCCAGCCTTATTTACCCGTGCTTGCTGCAGAATCGCCTGGGCCTGAGCCTCCTGGGCTGCTACCACAGGGCCCTTGTCACCCCCACCACTGCCAAACCGGAACTGAGGGGCAGAGAGAAGGGAAGGTGTAGGTTCTCTTCCAGGAAACGCATGAGACTCTCCCAACCAGAGGCTTCATCCAGAATTTCTGCCCCATCTCCCAGGTTCGGGGACAGCCCCACCCCATGCCTTCCTCCACTGTCTCCCACAGAAGTTTTCCAGATAATCACATAGAGATTTTCAGAAACTACTCGCATCTTCCTCCCCTACTCTCTGGCTTCTTCCTCTGGGAAAATTCTCCTAGAGTTTTTAGAAGTTCTAGACTTCCTGAAATATAGGATTTTCTGCCCAGTTCTAGATGATCCATGTTTGGTTCCAGGTCATCTAATGAGATCTAGTCCATCCACCTGAAAGATCAATCTCTTTGAGTTGATGGTCTCTAGAGAATCCTCCTTTGCTCTCCTGGTCTTCTGGTTCTTGGTGACAGAACATGATTCCCCTACCTTCCCCATTCCAAAGCCCAGAAGACAACTCACTGGGAGCATGAGCGATGTGCCAGGAGGTCCAGGGGCCCCATCTGATCCAGGGAGCCCTGCTCGGCCAGGGGGGCCCTGGAGTGGGGAGAAAATGAGGATAGGTGACAGTTGGGGAATGTTAGGGTCCTGGCATCTTTGTGAATCCATCTACAGGATAAATGTAGACTTTTCTAGATCTTTCCTGAACCCTCCCACTCCCACAGAGAAAAATGAGAGTGAGACACCAGATTACTCCCCTCCCCATCCAGAGCCTGTCCTCCTTTCTGGGTGTTGGAGAGCACACCAGCCCTTTGTTCATTAATCAATCTACTAATGAGGAGTTATTGAGCATGGTGCCCCCATTGGGTTCTAGAGGCTCCTCTGCAGCCCTTCCCTCATAACACACACACACACACACACACACACACACACACACACGTGTGCATGCGCACACACGCTGCTCCCTTACCCTCTCGCCAGGGTCTCCAACTGGGCCTGGGTTGCCCTGGATGCCAGGGGGACCAATCAACCCCTGAGGAACAAATGAGGAGTGGGTCAGGTGTGGGCATTCACATAGAAGAGGGGTATGTGGCTGAAGAGTGGTCTCTATAAAAGAGATTTGAGGATCTGGGAAGCTTTGGAAGGATTCTCCAGAGTTCCAAGAAGGAAGCCTGATCATATGTGGGGAAGGCAAAGATGATTGTGTAAGTAGGGTCTCTGAGAAAAGAATGGAGGCTAAAGGTCACAGCTAGACTCACCGCAGGGCCTTCTGGGCCAGGAGGCCCCTCCACCAGCATACCCTGTAGAGCCAAAGGTTGAAAGTCAGAGGCTACAGGGCTAGCAACCCACCTCTTTTTCTTCTTCCCCCTGCCTTCAGCTCAGTGATCAACAGACCAACTTACAGGTTCCAGCACCGCAGGTTCCCCCTTCTCTCCCTTCAGCCCCCGGGGTCCACGGGCAGCCTGAAGAAGACACACATGTAACCCCCAGTGGGACCGGTGAGCAGCCAGGACACCAATACTACCCCCATCCTAACTCCTACTTTCTTTCATTCCCAGATCCTCTGGACACCTCCCTAACCCTACCCTCAAAATCTCCCAGCCCTCTCCTAAGACTCCCTCTTCCCAGACCTCCCAAGCCTTCCAAGGAGACCTCAGGGCCCTCCACCTCCCAATTCCCAGCCCCACCTTAGCAAATACACTTCCTCATCTCCCTTAGGACCTCTTTCAGGAAGGTTTTCACCCCAACCCTTTCTGGGATTCCAAACTCCCCAACCTCCCCCAAACTCTCTCTGACCCCAGGAATACTTAGAACTTTAAGAAAACATCAACATCCTTACCCTTACCCCAATCCACCAAATAAGAATCTCTCTAAGATTGTGGATTGATTTTATCGGGGTTTGGAGGGAGGGCATGGATCCATATGAGAATCAGATATAATCCATGAAGTCTTTTCCAGAAAAGAAAAGGTGTACGCCTTTGTGCACAGAATTTTTCTTAGAATTTCAAGGGGTTCACAAAGTTCAAAACTCTCCAGAGATTAAACATCCATACTCTAAATAGATTTGGAGATCAGGCCCCCCTGATATGCCAAACTCAGACCTCATAACTGGTTTTTTTGGAAAAATACAGCACTTGGACTGTTGCTCAAGCCCCAGAGCAGACTCCCCCGGCCCCGTTCTTCTCCCAGCAGGGACACTACACCCTTCCTCTGGCCCTCATATATACTCCAAGCCCACCAGTTCTTGCTTTTCTACACTTCTCAGATGTCCGCTCCCAACACTAAGGCCAAAACCAAGATAAGGATGGGAAGAATGGAAATCATTCCCCAACACCCCCAACTCTCCCAGCAAAGATCTTCAGAATGTACCCCTCCACCTCCATCCTGCCAAACAGCAATGACCAACTTCTGAACTTTCCCAAATCCCAGATCAACCCCAAATTTCCAAAAAGCAGCAAAAGGGAAAGGCAGCAGAGGGTTCAGAGTGTCAATATTAGAGAAGGGAAGTGTGGGATGAGGCAGCAGTGTAGAGGAGGCAGCTCTAATTGCAAGGCAGGCAAAAGATGAATGGAGTAGACAGGAAATATCCCAACTGAGAAGGAGTGGTCGAAGACCTGGGAAACAATTAAGGGAGACATTTCAAAGGGACAAACACTTGGAAACAAGAATGATGCCAGGGCCAAGAAAAATTAAACATGGCCAAGATGGCTAGAAAATGAACTCGACAAACAGGAAGTGGTTGGACAGACAGGAAACAGCTAAGAAAAGAGGATCCAGGAAGTGGACCTTCAACAACAACATGGCTACCATGACCAAGAGAAAGAAGAAATTCACAAAACAGATAAAAAGTGACTCCTGGAAAGGGGATTATGACAATGAAATGTGATTCTTCCAGAAAATACAAACATTGAGGCTAGAACACAGAGGAGGTAGCCATGACAAATATCTAGGCCCACAATGGAAACTTTTTGGATTTGGATGACCTGAGACACACAGGAAGTGGCTTATTAGCAAAGGAAAGCTAATGAAGACAGCATGAAAAACTAGAAGCAAAATATAAATAAGTCCCTTTCAGTACAAATTTTCACAGTCACCAAGATGGATGCCATGGCCAGAGAAGACAGAAAAGGGCAGACAGGAAGTGGCTGTAGGTTAGAAAATATGACACAGGAAATTAGATCATTTGGCAGCAACATGGATAAGAAATTGTTTTTACCAAGAAGAAATGATGGAGACAGACTGAAAACGGACACAAAGTAGGGGCTTAGTGACCAAAAGCTTTCTGAAATACAGCTTTATTAAGACAGAAAGTGGCCAAGAAAGACAGGAGGTGGCCATAGGATTAAAAAAGAAAGAAAATACCAATTTCCCTGGGAAGAGGAATCCATGAGGCGTCACAAGGCAAGGTATTTGGCAAGAGAAAGCAGAAAGTAATCCTTTCAAGCAACATATACAACTTATATGAACAGAAAATGGCAAATCATCAATGGGAAGTAGCTTGCAGCCAACAGACAAGAATCAAAAACAACAGGAAGCGATTCTTAGAGCTACCACTGGAGGTCAAGAATGGAAGAGGAGCTCCTTTCACTTACGGCTCCCGAGTGGGCTGTCTCCGCAGACAGGGCAGGGCCAAGCTCCGTCTCCTCACGATAATCGTCCCCATAGCCATATGTGTAATCGTAGGGCCCTGCTGGGGGGTCTGTGCCACCCTCCCCATAGTCCTCTGTCAGGAACCTGTCGGCTGTGGAGGGGACCTGGAGATCTGTCTGCTCCTTCCCGGGGATGGGGAGGGAGAGGGGTAGATGGGGGCATTAGGGCTGAGAGGAGGTTTTCCCTGGACCCGAGGGTGTGGCAACTTCTAGCCTTAAAGGATTCTGAGGGTAACTGGGACTGGAGTTTTTCCCCCAAGAAGAGCAAGGGAAGTGGTTGCATAGAAAGGGGATGGCCATCAAAGACTCAAAATGAGGAGGGATGCCCCAAAAATGGGCCTGGTGGGAAGAAATGATAAATTACAAGAAGAAAGAAGGATGGCCGGAGGGCTGGACACAGAGTAAACAGTCCATAGAGACAATGGTAGACAAAGGATTCCAGAGAACAAAGAAATGGATGGAAAAACTGAGAGAAGTGAAAATGTGACAGCACTGGACAGAAAGTGACTCCTGGGAAGAGAAATACAATACAGAAAATAAAACTTTTTGACATCAACATGGAGAGGTTACTCCAGAATCAAAGAATGGAAGGAGACATGGACACTGAAGAAAAATGGCTATACTTAGAAAGACAAGCAGACCAATAGGTCTGGAGTGACTGGAAGGCCACAAATGGACGTGACAAAGAACCCTCCGGCCAGAGGAATGGCTGATTCACCAAGATGACATGGGGCAAGGGGGGTGGGTCACAGATGCCCACTGCCCCCAGCGGGGGTTAGGGTTGGGGATGAAGTTACCTCCTCTTGGGGTGGCAAAGGGCTTGGTTCCAGGGTTCCTTCCTCTCCACCTGGGGTGGGATCCTAACCCCAAGGGGAAGGGGAAGAGTAGCATGGGGTGGGAAAGGAAAGAGAAAGGTTAGTGGGAAAGGAGGCAAAGCAGCACCTTGTCCCCCCACCCCCTCACCCCGTGGGCAATGTCTGTCTGTGCTGGGGGGGTGGGGGTTATCTCAGATCTTGCAGCCCCTTCAGAGGGGGGGACAGTTTGGGGAGAGTGAATCTCCGAGGTCATAGAGGTTTGGGGGCACAGATCTGGATGCCCCAGCTCTACCTGCCGGTAACCGCTTCCTCTGGTCCTGGGGGGGGCCCGGGCAGTGGGGGGAGCTGCCCGCCGAGCTGGGCGTCGGAAGGGGGGAGGGTGGCCCCGTGCTTGGCCAGAACCTCCAATTCGAGAGGGCCTCCGGCCTGGTGAGGGGGGCGCCTGCCGGGCTGCTGACCTCTTGGCAGGTGGGGTAGGCTTTCTGGGAGGGGTCCGACGCCCCCTGGGGGAAGGGAGCACCCTGCGGTTGGGGCTCGGTGGCCTCTGCAGCAGAGAGACATGGGAGGGGGCAGTGAGGAAACTCCTATAATCTAAATATATAATGTCTCTTCCCACATGTTAAGAGGGGAGGAAGGTGTCCTAGGAGATGTTTGCAAGGGGTGGCAGGAGGAAGGGGAGAACTGATGGGGTCCCTCAAGTTTACCTGATAATCAGGGGTCGTCCCTGTAGTCATCTCATCGTAATAGGGGGTCTCGTAGTCATAGAAGAAAGACTCAGTGGGCTGGGGTTCGGGAAGGGGCAGTGGAAATAGTAGGAAGAGGTAGAGGTGCAAGAGTGAGGAGAGGGAAATGAGATAGTGTGGGAGTTTGGAAAAAGGGTAGGAGTTGAGGATGAAAGGAGAGGTCAGGGGGTCAGGAGAAGATGGGGAGAGGTGGGAAGGGGGGGTGGATCCCACATGTGGGACAGAAGCAGAGACATGATTAAGAGATTGACCATCTAAACTTCAGACCACTGACCCCAGATCATATCTCACCCCTAACCATCTGGACCCTACCCAATCCAGAATTCCTTTCCCTCCCCTCCCCCACAGCCCCTTACTCTGCATGTCCATGTGCAGGGGGCCAGAGACTGGGCTCCTACACAGAATTCCATAGACCCAGCCCTCCTCTGGGATTTTCTCTATCTCCTGCTCCTTCCCATTTCTCTTCCTAGGTCTTACCATAACAGCTTCCTTCTCGCTCGTTCTGTCTCTCCCCTTCCATGCTCTCCCATCTGCCATCCTCTGTCCCCAAATCTTCCCCCCCACACACACACATACACACTGTCCCCCAATCTCTTAATTCAAGGAAGGGATGGGAAACCCAAGGACGCAGTCCCAGAAAGACTGGCAGAGGAAAGGAGACATGAGCAGGGGACACAGCTCCCAGCCATGAATTCTTCATAATGACACTTTTTATTTTTAATTGAAAATAAAAAGGTTGATGAATGAGGACTGGGAGGAGGGAGTGATGAGAATAGGGAGGTATGGTTAGAGAGCAGCCCTAGTGGAGGGGAGGATGGGAGCCCAAAATAGTATGGGGAGCTCTGGAACATTGGGGGAATTGCCCTGGGGAGGTGTATGGGTATCTTCCCTCCCTGGGGTATGCTGTGGTTTGGGGTTCACCCAGTTCTCTCACCTGTCGCTGGGGTTCCTGGTTTTGTGGCCTATGAAGTCTTGGTGGCTGCTGCTTTGGAGATCTCTGGGCCCTGTGAGAGTGTTGTTTCTGAGGTCTCTCCCTCCAAGCTCCCTCACACTCCAGCTCCTTCTGTTCACAGGATTCGTAGGCAGCTTGCACCCCTGGGACAATGACAAGCTCCTGGATGTCACCCTGCAAAGACACAAGGAAGAAACACCAATGGAGGGAGGCAGAGAGGGCCTCAGAGAGAAACAGAAGGTAGAGTTTGGGACACAAGGTAAGAGCCAATCCTATGTAAAACAACATAATGGGAGAAGATCGTTATCAGCCTTTTCAGTTTTCAGAAGACCCTCTCATCCATAATCCCATTGGACCTTCACAACAACTGGGAAAAGTCAGTAGGATAAGGATATTTATGCCTATTGTCTGATATATTCCATTCAGAACAGCTCAAAGGGACAATGACTGCCCCCAAGGTCACTTTCAATGGTAGACTCAAGACTAGAATTCAAACACTCCAACTCTAAGTCCAACACTGTTTGCCTACCTCCTGCCCCTATGGTAATGCATCAACTTTTTCACAAAGGCCCTGGAAACAATGGCCCAACCTTAGTTGCTTTGACCTGCCAATGGCAGTGATGATGATAATTCTCAGAACCTCTAGAAATGGGGGAGAGGGAAGCCATTTTTGAATTCCAATGGCATTTACTTGTGCCCACACATGGTACTTAGCACAAGGCTGCCTTATATTGTAGTTTGGGGTTATTGTCTCATCTTCAAAGAGGAGCCAGGAGCTGCTAAGAATAATAGAGACCTTATATTACTCTTCTGTGTTCCCCCTGAAACTGGGACAGCAGGTATTCAGAGAATATTGACTGGCTAGGTGAGAGGATGGATGGATGGATGGATGGATGGATGGATGGATGGATGAATGGGGGCTCAAATGCACCACTGGCTGGAGGGTTGGTGGATGGTGAGTGAGCGAATGAATGAATGAAAGAATTGGTGGGTAGATAAATGGAGGTGAGAAATAGAGGAAACAGAATGGTAGGTAGGTAGGTGGATGGAAGGGAACATGTGAATGAATGAATGGTTGGATGGAGAGTGGTTGGGTGAGGATATAGGTGGGTGAATGAGTGGATGAATGAATACATGCATCCTCATGTGCATGGGTAGATGGGCTGGGTGGGTGGATGAATGAGGGAACTAATGGATGGGTTCAAGATGGATAGATTGATGGATGAGTGAAGAAGAAAGTGGCAGGGCAGAGGCAAACCTGAATGTTTGATTAGTGTGTGAGCACATAAATGAATGAGTGGGAATTACATGAGTAAATGAATGGGTGGGTGCAGATAGAGATATTAAAGAGATGAATGGATAGGCGGACTGACGAAGACTGATGGAGACATCTGTCCTGCCATACACATGGGCACCTATTTCTCCTACATAGAAAATCACCCCTGAGGATAGGATATGGAAATACAAACTCATAAGAGGTCAAATGAAGGGTCAGGGCATAAGAAGATGGAGTACTGGTCCCAGAAGGGGAACAGACACAAGATATGAGACCAGAAATACCTCCGTTCTCTGTTCTCTGTTACCTCAAACACTTCTTCATCCAGGATACGGGCACCAAAGATAATCACTCCATGGGTGTCCAACAGCGGACGAGCACTTCGGGGGAGAGGCCGGGTGACTCGCTTCTTGCAGTCAACTATGAGGGTGACAGACTGGCCCTTCACAGCCACTGCCACACGGTGCCACCTGGTCATGGAGGGAGCGGTTCAAGTGACTGACGGACGGGGGGCGGGGAGTCAACAGGGCTGGGGAGCAATTGATGGAAAGGTTGGAGCCAATGACAGTAATCGTAGTAGCATCATAACAGCTACCATTTGTTGAGTGTTTACAATGCACCAGGCACTACTTTTCTCATTTGATTCTCATGATTCTCATCCCTATTTTACAGCCCATAGAAACTGAGACGTAAAACAGTTAAGTAACTTGCCTAAGGCACAGGCAAGGATTTAAACTCTAAAGCCCAAAATCTGGGCTTGAAGTAGCTGAAGCCCAAAACCTGGGCTTGAAGTGTCGCTAGGTTGGTGACATGTGGCCAAAAACGTTGGCAGGTTTCCTAGTTTAGGGAGTAGGGGTTCTGGGGCAGTGGCCAGAGGGGAGCTCCTGAAGGTGTAGTCCAGGCAGACCAGAGGAGCAAACTGACTTACTTGCCATCTGCTAGGCTGAGGCCTCGGAAGACTGGCTGAGCAGGGGGTCGAGGCCTTCCAGTCTGGTCCTCATACAGGAAGCGGAAGGGTCGGCCAAGCTCCAGGCCCAGCTGTCGGACACCCTGGGCACTATAGAGAGTCAGGAGGGGAGCCTGGAGGCCAGGGCGGGTCCGGACAGCAGTCAGCAATGAGAAATCTTTGGGAAAACCTCCTGGTACCCGGGAGAGACATAACCAGGTGGAATGAGAGGCACAAAGAGCCAGAAAACCCTTCCCTTCTGGTGTCTGATTCCAGACCCCACCCCATGACCTACCCCAGCTCTCACTAGTTCACCATGTCACCCATACCTGGGAAGAGCTGGCGGGTGGGTGCACTGAGCTGGGCAGGTCGGGACACTCGGTAGGCCACATCAGCTGGACAGATGCCTCTCGCCCTCCGGACACCATCAGGAAGGGAGGGGAACCTCAGGGCCCGGAGCACATCCACAGGGGGTGCACCTGGGAAAGTCCATAAGGATCAGGAGAAGGGACACACCCTCAGGACGGCCAAGATATGGGGGTATTTGGGATCTAGAACTCAGCTTCCTGGGGCTCAAACTCCCTGAAAAGAAAGGTCACCTCTTCCGTACTTGTCTCTGAATGCCCCTTAAATGGACGGGAAATCAGAGTCACCTGGGAAAGGGCAGCACTGGCCCTGTATTTAGCTCCATGTGACCCCTGCCCCTCTCCCTCTCAGTGTGTCTCACTCAGTCTCCTCTGATCTTTGTCTTTCAGCCTATGAATCTCTCTCTACTCTCCACCATCTCCCCTTCTCTCTCTCCGTCTTACTCTCCCTGTCTCCACATCTGTTGATCTTTGTGTCTCCCTGTCTTTCTCCCTCTCTCACTCCCTTTCTGTATCTCTTGGTCCCTGGGTCTCTGGCCTCTTTCCCATATCTCCAGCACAAACAACATCTGGGCAATCGATCATCCTGGGCACAGGAGGTGCAGGGGGGCCACCAGGCAGGGAGCAGAGAGGCAGATCTAAGGGAACGGGGCTTCGGGCTGCTTCAGTTCCGTGTTTGGGGAGGTGGGGAGGACCACGCTGAGGAAGGAGAGAGCAGAAAGAGCCACCCCAGGAGTCTATACCCCTGGCTGGGAGATGGGCTGGGGGGGGGGGGGGCGGGGGTGGGAGCTGAAGCTGCCACGAGGAGCCGGAGCAGGTCCAGGGCCCTGAGCCACACATCTGTGGATCCCATCAGAGTCCTTGCCCAAAACCCGGGCAAGCTCCCCACACCTGGAACTTCAACCCTGCCCCACCACCCCCACCTCTTGGATCCAAAGATTCAAGACCCAGGCCATCAGCCCTATCCACCTTGAATTCAGCTTCCCAAGGCTCACACTCCCGGGAAGACAAAGGTCACCTCTCCCTCGCACTCCTCACGCCATCAGCTCCAGATTGGAAAAATTCCAAAAAAAAGTCCAGCAAAATTTTCACAGAAGCATGGGGCAGGGCAGGGGCCAGAGTGATCAGGAGAGGAGAGCTGGGTGGGGTGGGTGAGGTGGGGCGGACAGGCAGAGAAAAGGCCCTTTGAGTCCAGGCGCGGGGAAACCACGGCCGTGCCCTCCCCTTCACCAACATCCCCCCCCCCCACCCTAGCCTGGCCCCTGAGTGTGGCAGCTCCGCAAACACCAACACACAAGGGCCGCTTTGAGAAAGGAAGGGTGAGTGAGACAGAGAGACAGAGACTCACAGAGACCCCAGGCCAAGGAGACCTCAGAGGCCCCCGCCTTTCACCAAACCCCACAGGAGTACAGTTCCATCCTATAGACGGTCTACCCACAGGACTGCCCACCCATCTGCCCACCTCAGGCCACATACGTGCCCCACTGACTCCAGCCTCAGTCTGCCCCACACGCTCCCCACTAGTAGCCCCATCACCCCCACCATTCTACCTTTGGCCCCCAAGTGCCCCATTTTTTACTCTAATGAAGTCCACACTAGCCTATCTACCTACAGAGTCCCATCTCTAGCCCCTCAGCCCCAAAACAAGAGACAGTCATCTCAGCCATCCCCTGCCTCCATGCTAGAGGGTTCCTTTCCTCCTTAAGAAAGATTCCAAGAGTCCAGAAACATCACACACTTCAATTTCCAGTCCCTCCGCCTCATCCTCCTCACATCTTGAAAGTTTTTCCTTCTGTAATCTAATCTAAATCCTTTATGCTGCTATTCTGACCATTTTCTCTCCACATCGGAGAAGAAATGAATGGTGGAGTTACATGCAAATTATCCTCTAGTGTTTCTATGAGTGGGAGGCTGGCTCCTGCCTGCTTAGGACCCAGGTGCTCCCAGCCCCCTCCTGTCTGACATCAAATCCCTTTCCTAGGTGCCAGGACTTCTGGATCCTGGGAAAAAGAAGGAAAAGATTGGGGTTGTGGACACCAGGGTCCCAGGGGAGCCCCGCTGGCCAGAGGGGGAGGGGTGGGGCAGGAATGCAAAGAGTTGGCTCTCGCCTCAGACACCTGATCCCAGCCTGTCCAGCGGCCGTCCTGTTGGCAGCCAGCCCCAGTGCTCCCCAGAGCCAGCCGCGTGGCAGCATCGAGGGCACAGGGAGGGGGAAGGGGATACTGTCGGGGAAGCCAGTGGGACAAACAGTCCAGGCATCCCTTCTTTCTCTACTCACTAGGCTCTGCTCTGACCCACAGATGCTCACCCCTCACCCCAGACATATAGATAGAAAGCCCGGAAGATATACACACCGTCCTCACCCATCAACACTGGCATCTACCTGGCCACCCCAGCATTGGCTGGACTGCACCAGCTTTGGCCAGCTTTGGCTCTCCCTGAGTACCTCAGCATCCAGTCCCCTCTTTAGGTGAGCCTCCACCTTTCAGCTTTACCTGCCCTCTCCCAGTTACTCCAAGGAGGCAAAGAGATCCCTATCTTTGTTCCAAGGGAACCGAGTGACCTGCCCTCGAGTCTGGACCCTTAGCCCCCTAAATCCCCTTTTTGAACTTAGAAGCTCTGCCTCGGGCATCAGCTATCTCCTACCCAGGGGGGTACTCAGAGCTGCAGCCTGACTCCAAGAACCCAGGCGTCGGACTCCTCTTACCTGCCCAGGCAGGGACGGCGCTCAGCCCCAGCACCAGCGGTACCAGCAGGAGGAGGCGATGACAGCGGCTGCACCGCTCCATGGCTGGCGACCCGAACGCCCGGTCCCAAGGACCTACGGGCGGCCGGAGACGCTGAACGCCCCCAAGGCTGACAGGAGAGAGCGAGCAGGCTTTGAGCCTCGGACGCCCGGGTCCTGTGGAGGTCAGAGGCTGTCGGGTAGCAACAGCTCTCAGCGGCCCAGCTCCATGCAACGAGGCGCCGTCGGGGCTCTGGCGCTGCTCCTTCCTCAGTGGCCGCCGCTCCTGTGTGTCCCCGGCCACCCCGGCGGCCCACAGCCCCCACCCCGCCCCCGCCCCCGGCCCAGCCCCCGCCTCCAACCGCCCGCCCACAGCCACCGAGGGGAAACCCCACCCTCGATCTCCACCTGGTTGGGGGGGGGGGGGGCGGTGGGAGACAGCAGCCCTCGTTCAATGACCCTTGCTCCTTGCAGAGGCTGAATGGCCTATACCCCAGATTCCTTTTTCGGGAACCCCAATATCTCTTCCTCTGCCCCTTCCTTTTCTAAGACTCAGACGTCCAGTCAAAGCCCCCACCTCAATTCCCTCCCCGTTAAGGGCCCAGAGCCCCGTTTCAGCAGTCCTGGGCGGGATTTAGGGCACTGTGGGAGGAGAGAGGCGGGCCTGGGGGTCTCTACCTCCCCCCAACAGGTCTCCATAATTACTTCCCCTCGCCCCGCCCAGTGTAATTACAGAGCCGGCCTGGGGTGGGGGTATTTATAGACAAGGCTATAGATAGCGACTGGAGACCTGCAACCCGACGGCTGCGGGGGGGGGGGGGGGGGGCCCCAGGTGGTTAGAGGGGAGGCAGAGGGACTTAGTTTGGGGGCGGAGAGAGCCAGAGGCTGTACAGCCCGACACACACAGGATAAACACGTCCAAGGAGATGAAAATGGGGGGACGAGGTCAGGGAGTCCGGGAGCCCAGGTGGCAAGGGACTCAGGGGGCCATCGACGCTAGTTGGAAGAGTCCGGGGAAACAGGGTCACTCAGGGACGAGAGGCCGCCTCCGGGCGGGCAACGCCTGAGGAGGCCGCCGCGCTCAACGCCCAGTGCGCCCCCACGGACGGGCACGGCGCCGGGTCTGCCCGGAGCCCGTGGCGCGGCCGGAGAAGACAGGAGCGAGCCGAGGCGCCGCCGCCCGCTGGCGCTAGGAGGGCGCAAGCGAACAAGGCGCCTTTGAGAATCAGCTGCCCCCCTCTTCCTCCTCCGGCCGGCCCCGCCCCCAGCCTGGCACACCCTCTCCCCCCTCCCCGACAAAGCGCGCCTTGTGTCCCCCACCCTGTGCCCGCCTCTCAGGCCCCGGGGAACCTCGGCGGCGGCGTCAAGGGAGCTCGTCCGGAGCTCCCGACCGGATGCCCCCCCCACACACACGCGGCCAACGCAGTTGCTGCTCCCCCCCCCCCAACACAGTCACCTCAGTCCAGAAAACATTGATTTTAATTTGAAAGCTATTTTATGTGTGAGTGAAAGAGAAGGGAAAGGAAACCCAGAGAGAAGGGCTGCGAGGCAAAAATCATGCAGCCCCAGCACCCTATCTCTGCAGGCTGACCATCCCCCCCTCAATTCTCAGGCCAGGGTCCTGTGTCCCCAGTCTACACTGTGCCCAGGTCTGGGGGAAGGCTGTGAAAGGAAGGGCCTGAGGACTACTCACCAAACCACCCTGCCATCACATCCCAGGCCCCTTCCCCAAGTTAGACAAGAGACGGGGGAGGGGATAGGGAAGGCCAGTGCTTGAAGGGCCCCAGGGACAGACCATCTCAGGGCCCTGCCTTTCCCAAACACCACCTCCACCACTGGCATTTCTTAGTCAACCTGGGAAAGTACAGTACTTCTTTGAGTCTAACTGCAAGTCTCTATCCTCAGAGGAAATTAAAAATAGCAGATCGGTTCCTACATCTTCACCCACCCCTTAACCACCACCACCTTTTTATTCAGTCTGACTGCAGCAGGAGGTGAAGTGTGAGGGGGGCTCTGAACAGGAGACAGTGACAGGGCTCCTCCCTCTTCCAGAGTAGCCCCCACCTGCTGGGCTACTGTCAAGGCTGTCAAGGCCTGGAGGAAAGCCTGTCAGAGTGCTACTCCCATGTCCATCAGTTTGGGGGGCCTGCCCCCCAGTATCCATCTCCGGGAGAGTTCCCATTTTCTCTCTTCACATGGGTAGCTAAGTGAGGCAAGATGAGAAGGAAGCAAGGTCCTGTGAGCAAGGCCAGTGCTTTGTGCTGGGGGAAGGAGAGATCGTTCCAGGCAGGGGGTAAGAAATCACCCCAAATCATGACAGACCCAAGACAAATTCAGAGACTCAAGGTCACTGAAGGATGAGGTCCAGCCCTCACAAGGATCTGGGGTCCCCTCTGACTTGGGATATCAAGCAAACCTCTTGGAGGGTTTATGGATCCCCTTGGAGGTCTCAACTCTGCCCCGTACTCCTCACCCCACCAAGATTCTAGGACACGGCCCCTCCCCACCGTGCCCCCAAGGCTGGAGTCCCTCTCAGATGTGTACTCCTCAAGTGTGAGGAGCACCACGTGTAGGTCTGGGCTCAGGCCAGCTGGTGGGGAGCCTCAAGCATCTCCATGAGGAAGGTGTCAATGGGGGTGTCTCCAATGAGCTTGAAGAAAAACAGATGTTCTAGACACTTAAGGCCAATGGACCTGAGGGCAGGAAGACGTAGCAGCAGCTTGGCAAACCTGAAGCAGAGGTGGAAGAAGACAGCTGGAACCACACGGGCTCTGAACACAACTTCATGGCACCCCCCAACCCCACACCCCCACAGCTCCATCTCACCGTCCCTGCTGCTCAGGGTACTTCTGTTTGCAGTAGGTCTCCAGTGATGCATACACTTTCTCCCTCAGAACCTCCACCTCACTGGGGTTGGAGAGACCCTTGGCATCTGGGATGGTAGGGAAGAGAGAAGGAAGAAGACAAATCAGGACAAATGTGGAGATGTGGCCCATACGATGTCCCTTTTGGGCCCCACCTACTGGCCCTTTAACAGGTGCCCGGCTAAGTTGTGGAATGGGGCCAAAGGGGAACGTATCAGTGCATGTGGGTTTTTCTTGGTCAGCTGGGAGAGTTCCAGATTGAGGGGGATAGCTGGGTAACTTAGGAGTCTCTGGAGAAGAGGAGGCTCCAAGGTTGCCTTGGTCTTGAGAAACAGGGGTAATCCTCCTCTTACCTGGATTGAACAGAATGATTGCCCTCAGGCAGCCAAGCTCTGTCTTGTCCATCCTCATGTCACGCATTTTGGACACTAGCTCTGTCAGCACCCTGGAGAGGGACCTGCAGGTCACTCAAAGGTCACAGCTCAGCCAGCCTTGGACACGGACCAGCCTATAGCCCCACCCCCTCTACCTACAGGCCAGCCTAGCCGAAGGCCACTGACCGATCAAAGATGGCTCCCACGCCTGCAGAATGGGCTGAGTTGCGGTGCACATGAAGACCTGTGGCGAGGAGGATGCCATCTCGGACATCAATGGATCGGTGGGAGAAGGAAGCAATGAGGAGCTCGTTCCAGCCTGCGTGGGGGGCGGCAAGGGTCAGGAGCCAGAGCTCAGACCATGGGATTCAAAGCATATCAGGGGAAGAGAAGAAGTGAGGAAATCAATGAACTTGGCTCCCTTGGTATGTAAGTATGCACTGGGGTCACTGAAGGTCAGAGGTCAAACAGGGATCAAATATCAAGAGGTAAAGGGGATCCAAGGTCACTGACCTGCCCGTAGCAATATGACCTGGTCATCCAGAGGCAAGGAAGAAAAATGTGGGATCCTCTTCGCCCACTCAACAAGCGTGAATAGCTGTTTGTCAGCTGCCTGACAGATGTTAGTCACGGGGTCATTTGGCTGCAGGGGATGGGGAGGTAAGAGTTACGGAAGGTCTGGAGGTACGCTGGAAGTCCCCCCCTTGTAAGAGGTTTCTGACACCACCTCCTTATCTAGAGTCTCCCTTCAAACCCATCTGAACCAATCCCCATTAGTCAGGCTTCTCTTCTGGCATTCGCGAAAACAATTATTTATTTAGGACTAGCCCATGGTTCTACCACTGGGTTGTTTTGGGATGGGGACAGAGAAAGCTATCACACCCACCTCAGATGTTTGAGAGACCTTGTTTGGCAGCACTTCCAGTCCCAGGCAGTGTTAGGGGGGATGGAGGGTAAAGGGAGGGGAGAGGGAAATAGAACCAACCTAGACTCCCGTCCCCCCTCCCCCATCAGGAGAGAGAGTGGATTGACCCCATCACTCACGCTGCTGCCGCTACCCCCGGTTCCCCCAGGACCCTCAACGCCCTGGTCACTCTTCTGCTCCACGGCAAGCTCTGCCTCCAGGATCCTGTCCACAGGCATCTCCTCGGGGGCTCCCCCAGCCCCCTCCCCATCCCCGTCCTTGTCCTTCCCCCGCTGACGTTCCTCCTGTACCGCTGGGGTGGGGGGAGGGGAGGAGAAGAAAAAGTGGAAAGTCAACAGTCAGCCGTGAAGGGTTCTGAAATGTCTTTAGGGCCTTATCAGGGTTCTCAGGGCCCTTAGGAGATATTTATAGAAATTAGAGAAGTCACTAAAAATGGTAGACTAGGGAGTCTGGAAGCAGGGGCTATAAAAGAGCATATAAATAAGCCAAGAAGGAGAAGAGGAAGGCAGGATAAAGGAATTAGGAAGAAAACTAACATTTAAACCTAGGGTCTAAGAAATGGGCCAAATACATTTTAACATTCACTCAATTATCATGAAAATTCCAGGATCTCTTATCTTTGTTATTAAAGATGAAAATTTTAGGGCTTGGAGAAGTTAGACAGCTTGTCCAAGTTCTCGTAACATAGAGCAAGTGGTCCATCTAAATCCAAGTGTGCCTGGCTGCAAATCTGGTGCTCTTCCGATTCAACAAAGTCACAGTGAAAGGATCACTGGCCCGGGTCTTCAAACTTGTGGGTTCTGATTGCAGCCCTGCCCCCTCTTTCGTTGCATGACCCCAGAAAAACCAGGCCTCAGGCTCATCTTCTCTAAAATGAGGCATTGGACCAAGATACCTTAAAGTGTCTGAAAATTCCAGCATTAGACTTAAGAAGATAAGAGAAAGAGAAGGGGAGGCAGCCCTGAGGTCTTCAGTAAAGTCCGCAGCTTCAAAGAGTAGAGTCCCAGACTTTGGAGGAGGAATCACAGATAACAGGGAGACAGAGAGAGAGGGAGAGGTAAATCACAGGCACACAAGCACTGGTCAAAAGAGGAGGAACTATTCAGGTTAGTGAAGGGGAGACAGAGAAACTCATCATGGGTAAGGAATAGTTATCCTACCCTAGCACCAGATGGGAGGGGTCATGGGTGCCGGACACAGAGAAGCAGCCCCATTAAAAAAAGGAAACTCAAGAGAACAGAGCAGAATTCGAGAGACAAGAGCTGATGAGGAGGGAAGAGAGAAATCAAATATCGCCCTCTGGAGGAGGAGGGAGAACAGTCCAGTCCTGAGAGGTACAGTCTGCAGTTTCCTGCAGTCTTCCCTCCACCTCCTCCCTCCTCTCCCATAGGGTAGCTAAGGAAGCCCGGCTGACGCAGGCCCTTACCCTCCCTCTTCATGCCAGTGGCCAGGCACTTCTGATAACGGCAGTACTGACAGCGGTTTCGCTGGCGCTTGTCCACTGTGCAGTCCTTGTTGTCCCGGCACGAGTAGGTCAGGTCCTTACGGATGGTACGCTTGAAGAAGCCTTTGCAGCCCTCACAGCTGTAA